ACACCTGGTAACCACGCCTGTGGTCAAATCATCCCATTATGCAGCCCTGCTGGGTAAAGCAAGCTCAGATTCTCTGACCCTGAGTGAGGTCTCACTAGATAACCTCTGTGGGCCTCCACACCTTAGACACCAGCAGTATTTCACTTTCATCAGCCAGAGTGAGATTCCTGCTACATCCAGATGAAGGCTGAGTTTCTAAAGAAATGCCTGAGGAGGAGGAGTCCACACAAGATGGCGATGGTGCTTGGTGTTGTGTTCATCTCGGAAATGTCTGTCAGGCCGGCACTCGGCAGAGGGGCTTCTGTTGCTTACCTCTCCCCGTAGGAGAAGGATAACTTCCTGTCCCTTTATGTTTTATTGACCACATGGCTTTATTGACAAATACAGTGTAAGTAGATGGGTGCTACATCTGAACACAAGCTTTAAATATGATCTAAGGGAGATTAACCGAAAAATAAAAAATGAGCAAGGGGGAATAGGTTCTCATGTATCCCAAGCTGGCCTCGAATTCACTATATAAGCAGAGATGACCTTGACCTTCTGATCCTCCTCCTCCATCTCCCCATTGCTCGGACTGCAGGTATGCATTGTGGCTAGTACAGTCCTGGGGTTAGAATCATCACAACCTGAGAACACCAACCTCATTCCCTTTACATTCCTAGCTCCCCCTCTATGTTTCAGGATTTAACCCCCCCTAACGTCCCGGACACCCCTCTGCTGTGCCTTTGGCTCCAGCAGCTGCCCTTCTCTCCCCCAGCTACTTTTTGTCCAGGCTCAGCGCTGTACCAGTCCTCCCAGACAGTCTGTCTAGCGTTTCTGAGGTGTATTTTTTCTCCGTGGGTTTTTGTTTTGTTGTTTTGCTCCTGCACACATGTCTGGTACTTTCCACGTCAAACTGGAATGATCTGGTTTGTGTCTTTCTCTTTCAACAGACTACTCTCTGCTGAAGGCAGGGATCACATCTTTCTTAACTTTTCAAGCCCAGAATCTATGTCTGGCCTACAGGAGGTGCTCTATCCACATTAGTGGAGTTGAAATAAACCAAATCAAACATCAACAAAAGAAAACTCCGAGTTGTGTCAAAGCCTCTGGCTTATGAGGCGGATCACACAGTGATTGGCTCTTTTGAACAGAAATAGAGTAACATGTGACAGACATCCACTCTCCCTCACGTACTGCTTTCCCCTTTGTGAATACTCCCCCAGGGGGGACAAAACCAAAGAGGGAAATGTGCACAGATGTCCTGGCAACTGTAGCTATAACAGTGAAAACTGGAAGCAGTCCAAATGTCTAACAGGGAAGTGACTGAGCAAACAATGGGATTATTATATAGCTATTAAAAATGACAGAGGTGAGAACTGTCAGCATGGAGAGTTATGCACTGGCAGGAACGCTGAGTGGAAAAAGAACACAGACTAGCGTTTGAGGGTGTGTGTGCACAGTCATAAAGATCAGAGGCCAATCTGGATAAAAACGAAAATGGCTGCAGTTCAGAGTCCTCTGGATGTTTTGGAAGATTCCATCCGTTTATGACAATCATAGTTGAGATCTCACGCAATCCTTAGAGGATCGTGCAGAACGTAGTGTGGTGGCACATGCATGTAATCCAAGCACTTGGGCGGTGGAGGCAGGAGGATCAGGATTTCAAGGCTATCCTCTGATACATGGTAAGTTTGAGACTAGCCTGAGTTGCCTGAGACCTGGACTCAAAGAAACAAAGCAAAAGTTGGACATTGTGCCTTACCTCTTTCATCCCAGTGGAGGCAGAGGCAGGCAGATCTCTGTTTGAGGACAGACAGGGCTACATAGTGAGTCCCTGACTCAGAAAACAACAATAAAACAAAAACATCACACCGTCTTCAGAGGCTGGGGAGAGATGACTCAGTGCTTACGAGCATGAGCTGCTCTGGTGGAGGACCTGGGTCTGGTCCCTAGCATCCATACCAGGCAGCTCACAACAGCCTATAACTCTAGTTCCAGGGGGACCTGATGTTCTCTTCTGGATTCCAAAGGTGTTGTACTCACATGCACATGCCTATATAGACACAGACAAACATACACTCTCTCTGAAAAAGTTTTAAGCCTTCAGAATAAATACTCTATGCTATCTACCAGGTAGAATATTCTAAAGAGGTATTTAATGTCAACTTCTCAACATTGTTATGAAAACAGTGACTTCTCCTCCTCCTTCTTCCCCCTCCCGCCACCGCCACCCCAGATCTTATTATGAAACCAGAATGGTCTCAAATTTGATATTCTTCTGTCTCCGCCTCCTGAGTGCACAGCTGCAGATGTGTTTCAGCACTCTATCTCGGGTGTGTGCTCATGTGTATGTGAGTGTTTTATTGCTGTGGTGAAATGCCAGGACCAAAACCAACTAAAGGAGAAAAGGCTTTTCCTCTTGTGCTCCACCATCCAGGGATGTCAGGGCAGGAACTCAGTTCAAGGCAGGAGCTGATGCAGGGACCGCAGGGACCACAGAAGAACAAGGTTCCCCGGCTTCCTTTCTCTGCTTGCCAGTTTTCCTGCTATACACTCCAGGACCAGGTATCTGCTCAGGAACGGCGCCCACAGTGAGCTGAGCCCTTCTACATCAATCACTACACAAGAAAGTGCCCCACAGACTGAGTTCCCTCTTCCCAGATGATCCTGTCTGTCAAACTGCCAAAACCTAACCAGGATGAATTTGTGTGTATGGGCAAAATGTGTGTGTGTGTGTGTGTGTGTGTGTGTGTGTGTGTGTGTGTGTGTATGTGTGTTGTGTGAGCTGGCCTGGAACTCTATGTAGCCCAGGCTGGCTTGGGCCTCACTGTATAGCTCATACCGACCTTCTACAGTTTGGATGTGACCCCCAAAGGTCCATGATTTGAAAGCTTGGTCTCCAGCATGGCACTGTCACAAGGTGGTGGAACTTTTAGGGGTTGGATCTAATGAGAGGGCTGTGCTTGTTTGGTGTGTTTGGTGACATGCCATTGAAGGTGATCATCGTGTGGAACCCCAATTCCCTCTTCTTCCTCTGTGTTTTGCTTTTCTAAGGTATGAGCAGTTTGCCACACACCCTTGCCCTGATGTGCTGCCCAAAGCAATGGGGCTAACAGGTCGTGCACTGGAACCTCAAAGCTGTGAGGAAAATAAGTCTGTTTTTCTTTCTCCCCCTCTACCGTCCATGTGTGTATATGTACATGTACATGCATGTGGAGGTGAGAACAATAACTGAGTATAACTCCTCATGTGCCGGCTGCCTTTGCGTTGTTGAGGTAGACAGAGCTCGTGAAGCTGGCTGGGCTGCCCAACCAGTGACACCACACTTGGTCTTTCTTAATGTAGGTTCTGAGGACTGGACTCAGGTCTGTATACTTCTGAGTTCCACTCTACAGCCCAGGCTGACCTTGAACTTTTAGCAACTATGATGTTTCAGCTTTCCAGGTGCTGGGATTGCAGGCTTGTGCCACCATGCCCAGCCATTCTGCCTCTTACCTCAAAAGTACAAGTCGATACTGGAGCCACCTTGCTTGAAGTTACGTTTATTCTGTTAGGAACTATAACCAGAATGTTTGGACATGGACTAAATTCAGACTGATCAAGTTCAAAAGCAGCAGAATGTAACAGCAAGTGGCATTGCTCTGATAAAGACAGATTATCGATACGAAATCGAGGGGCTTAATTGTGTTCTACAATGACAGAGCCCTTGAGATTTTCCGAATGAGACAGAGGCAAGAGGATAAATACAAGTTCAATGCCAGCCTGGTCTTTGTAATGAGTTCTAGGTCAGCCAGGGCTCCATAGTGAGACCCCACGTCACAGAAACAAAACGAAATACTCCAGATGAACTAGGGAGGTTTTGAGGGTTTTTGTTTGTTTTGTTTTTTGGAAGCAGGGTCTTACACAGCCCAGGCTGGATTCTAACTAGTTATGTATCTGAGGATGACCCTGAATGTCTAACCCTCAAGCTTTTACTTCCTAGTGCTGTGATTACTGGTGTGGACCACCATGATGAATTTATGGGGTGCGGGTGTGTATGTGTAGCCTCCTGCCCACTAATCTACTGAACCCCCAGCTGGAGACATGAATCATTAAGTGAAAACCAGTTTGGCCTTCCTAATCTGAAATCGACAGTGTCAGACAAAGGATCCTGTATTAGGGGCAACCGCCTTATGACTAGTTTCTGGACTAAGCTCCACCCACCTCTGGCGGCTTCAGGGACAGATAGCTATGGTGTATCTCCACAATCTGGTCTGTGTAAGCGCACAGAAGACGCACTCATTTTCCTGCCTGTATTATCTATAATAGATAACTGCCCTGATGAGGAACCTGAGGATAGAATTCACGCATTTAACCATCATGTGAGCCACAGCTCATGCTTCAGATGAAAACCCCGGAAGCCATCATCTCTCTGCTGCATGGGAAGTGTATAATTAGCTCGGTGTGCAGCTTGACCCCAGTGATTTTTCTGACGCACTTGGCCCTCAGTGTATGCCCTTTCTGAGACCTCCTGTGTCTTCTCCACAGCTGGAGATGCCCAAAACTGCACGCAGCACTTCCCGTGGGTGTGGCCTTGCGTTCTTAGGCGCTCCTTGGTGCTGGCTGCCCCCACCCCCCAATGGGTCACATGTTTCAGCTACTCACAGACCCACGGAACTCTTTGAAATGGACCATGAGTGGCTCTATCAATTGTAATTGAGTTTTCCAGTCCCTCCTATTTCTTTTTAAAAAATGATTCTCTGATAGAGTCTTCTCAAAGAAACACTATAATTGGGCAGCCTGGGGCATGTGGGAAAGCCTCCCGATGCGTCAGTAGCTATTCTCAGGAGAGGAAAGGCAGGGTATCCCCACTGGGGGATGACGGCACTTGTTTCAAGTTGGGGAAGAGCCTGTGGTTCTCTTCCTGCGTTTGGAGGGGAAAGCGAACACACAATGTTCATTTCCTAAATACGGGATGTGCTTTGCTAGCGGCTCATTTTCCAACATGTCATATCCTGGCTGAAGGCAGCAGGGGTCAGGACAGGAAACAGCCACTTCTCAGAATGAGACAAGGCTTTCCCAGAGCGGTCATTGGCTCCTGGGAACTATAAAGCACGCTCATCCAGAAACGGCCACCTACTTTTCTTCCTGGAGGCCAGAGTGAAGGGTAAGTGCGGAGTCCAAGGGGATGGGTCTGAAATGGGATTGGTGACATGGGGGTCAACTCTTAGGCCATCTTGTACTTGGAGCGACTTTTGCTCCTTCGTTCTTTTTACCTGAAAACTTCTTACTGGTCAGATGGCTCACGGAGGCCAACAAGGAGCAGCAGGTCTCCTGAGTCAGGAGACCCGTGCTCTTCACAGAGCCCTGGGAAGCATCGGCTGGATTTGCAGCCTGTCTCTAAAATCCTCCATCTTAATAGATTCGGATGAGTTCTGGCTGTGTGTGCTGATGCAAGCCTGAGATCCTAGTACTCAGGAGGTGGAAGCTGGAGGATCAGGAGTTTGAGGCCAACTTGAACTTAATAAGATCCTGTCTTTAAAAAAAAAAGACAAAAACAACAAATGGAAAGAGAAGAAAATATTTAATAATTTCTGCCCTGATATTTGAGTTTTGATATGCTCTTTCTGTGACTAATTTGACATTTCTAAGACGTTCTGAATGGTAGAAAGTAGAGTGGGTATGAAAATGGGAGTTTCGGGCAACCAGGACAGATGAACTGTCTCCATTAGTCACCTTTTATGACCCAAGGATGCCTTCAGGGAGTTGCTTCTCCCCCCACCCCCTTCTTTTTTTGCCTTGAGACAGGCACTTGTTAGGTAGCCTTAGATGGCTTAGAAGTCAATATTTAGACCAGGTTGGCCTCTCAAGGATCCAGCCTCTGCCTCCCAAGTGCTAGGATTAGAGGTGTTTGTCACCACACTGGACTTGGCTATTTATTTTATTCCGTTGGTTAGTCTTTCTTTCTTTTTTTAATGACACTTTAGAAGAGACATAGTATTAATTGGATGTAATTTAGTTTTAATTAAGCTTCCACCAAAGATCAAGATGTCTGAGGACTTTAGGATCTTAAATTAGAATAAATAACAAATTATATCTTAGAAACAAAGTCTAGCAGAAGAGAGTGACTTCAGAAAAGCAGCTGACTTAGAAAGAGTAGGTATTTATTTATTTAAATTAACACAGTATTAGGGTTTATTTTGGCATTTTCAAGCAGAATTTGTTTTTGTTGTTTCTTCTCCCTCTCTTTCTCCTACACCCCTTTGCCCTAACCTTTCCCTCCTTTTTTTGAGACAAGATTTCCTCATGTAACCTAGGCTAACCTTGAATTCACTATGTAGCTCAGGATAGCCTTGCTAGAAAGAATCGTTTCTTTAGTTTGATAGATAATATACTTTTTGAGGTTGGTTATGTGTGTGGAGGGAGGAGAGGGATGGCAGGAGGGAAGAGGATCCAACTTGATCCAAGGAAGCGTTCAGAAGTTGCTATCCCCCCACCCCCTTTCTTTGTTTGCCCTGAAACAGGCTCTTGTTATGTAGCCTTGGATGGCCTAGAACTCAATATTTAGACCAGGTTGACCTTGAACTCTCAATGATCCTCTGTTTCCCAAGTGCTGGATTAGAGGGAGGGAGGGATGGGAGAGAGAGAGAGAACACGAAACTGCTGTATCTCAAGTCTCTAGGATGCAGGTCTCCACATATTTGAAAAGCTCTTGTTACGTGCCCAGTTTGCCACTTGTAAAGTGTTTTTCTTCTTTTTCATGGTTCTTATTTGCCAGGGGAAGGAGGAGGGGGTATAGGATGGGGTGTCATACCCAGAGCTTTGCACTTGCTGGGCAATGGCTCTACCGTTGAGGTAGACCTTCAGCCCAAAGGTCATCTTGAAGACAGAGCGAAGTCTTGGTATTGGAGCAGCCTTCTAATAGTCTCCACCTTCACGCTTAAATCTTATTTAACCAGAGGATGAAGTCCGTAGATTCTGTTCCCTGGGAGAAAATCAGAGGACAGCGTAATCTCTATTTGCATGCGCAGTTAACAGGTTCTGAAAACTTGTATGGCTTGTCCCAGACTCCAGAGCTAGCCTTTGAAAACTTGACACATGACCCAATGGTAACCTACCGCACCGTTCCCCCACGCCCTGAGGGGTAGTAATGGATATTTATTTATTTATTCATGTATTTATTTCTGCGGCGTTGGGGGTAAAGGTAGGGGTTGCATGCTAGCCAAGTGATCTCCCATTAAGATACACCTCCAGCCTAAGGTCTATTTAATCTTTGAAGACTCCCTCTTGTGCACCAGCCAGCTCTAGGCTTGGGCAGCGGCGGGCGTGGAGACTCCGGGGCTAACTGCGTGTCTGTGTGTCCCCCCCCCCCCCCCCCCCAGGGCATGGAGAGGCTGGCGGCCTGGGAGCCGCAGGGCGTGGATGCGCTGCGGCGCTTCCAAGGACTGCTGCTGGACCGCCGCGGCAGGCTGCACGGCCAAGTGCTGCGCCTGCGCGAAGTGGCCCGGAGGCTGGAGCGTCTACGCCGGCGCTCCCTGGCGGCCAACGTGGCCGGCAGCTCTCTGAGCGCCGCGGGCGCCATGGCCGCCATCGTGGGGCTGTCACTCAGCCCGGTCACCCTGGGGGCCTCGCTCGTGGCCTCGGCCGTGGGCCTAGGGGTGGCCACCGCCGGAGGGGCGGTCACCATCACGTCCGACCTCTCTCTGATCTTCTGCAATTCCCGGGAGGTGCGGAGGGTGCAGGAGATCGCCGCCACCTGTCAGGACCAGATGCGCGAGCTCCTGAGCTGCTTGGAGTTCTTCTGTCAGTGGCAGGGCCGCGGGGACCGCCAGCTGCTGCAGAGCGGGAGGGACGCCTCCATGGCCCTTTACAACTCTGTGTACTTCATCGTCTTCTTCGGCTCACGGGGCTTCCTCATCCCCAGGCGTGCCGAGGGGGCCACCAAAGTCAGCCAGGCCGTGCTGAAGGCCAAGATTCAGAAACTGTCTGAGAGCCTGGAGTCCTGCACCGGCGCCCTGGATGAGTTTAGTGAGCAGCTGGAGTCCCGGGTCCGGCTCTGCAGCAAGGCCGGCCGCGGCCACAACCTCAGAATCTCCGCTGATCAGGATGCCGCGTTGTTTTTCTAAGAACATCCTTTACCTACATGGGATGTTCTAGATCTGTAGCATCCACGGGGAAGCGCCACATGGGTGGAGTGCAAAGGATGACAGACACTGTTCTTATGGGATGTTGGTCCTCAACTCCTTGCGTGTGAGGGACTTTTTCACTTGTGGAATCCCAATGGAGTATGTGACCCTAAACCACCCACTTTGATGGTGGGGGGCAAAAATCCTTTTTGACCGCACACAGCTAGGCGGACTCTCCCTTTTTAGAGTTATGGGGGAGGGGACCTTGATGGTTTGAGCTGGGGTCTGGAGAGGTGTCCTCCTCTGGGACCTCTGTAAGTTCTTACTAGAATCCTGAGATTCTCAAAAGATTGGCCAGAGGAGACATTTGCTTTACAACTTAGCTTCTACAGTTCCTGATACACAGAACTCCAGAATCCCAAACAAGAAAGACCCGCACTTGTCTTGGTGAGGATTGTAGACACAGACTGGGCCTCGGAGCTGACTCGGTCAGTTTATCCATTCACAGACCCTGCCTGAGTATTGCATAGACTTTTTTTTTCTCAGAGTGGCTTCACATCTACACCTGCAGGTACCCCGAGAAGGAAAGCCACCCCAAAAGAGTCACTTGAATTCAAACCCACCTCCTCTGCTTCCACAAAGAAGCTGAGGGGGAAATGAAGCCCCTAACAATTTCCATGGCTGACCTGGTAGCATAGAGCCGAGAGCAATGGCCTTTGAGTTAAACAGTCCTGGAGCTATTACAGGGTTTGTCACTATGGTGTGACTTAGCCACCTCACCTTGTTGAGACTTGGTTTGTTCAGTGGAACATGGATAGGGGGGTAAGAGCTCACCCTACTGTGAAGCCTTGAAACAAGAATGACAAGCAGAGTCTAGGTCACAAAATGTGGTTTCCGGCCTGGCTCCTGGCTATCACCTGGGAGCTTGTTGGAAAGGTAAACTGTTGGGCTTCAACATAAATGTTTCAGATTTATGAAATCAGAAACTGTAGATATGAGACCCATCACTGCCTCATTCTAATGACCCATAACATTTGAAAATTGTGGCAAGAAATATTCATTTCTAGCCAGGTGTGGTGGTATATACCTGTAAGCTTAGCACTTGGAGATGGAGGCGGTGGACCAGAACTTCAGGGTCATCCTTGGCTACATAGTAAACTCAAGGCCGCCCAGGATTATAGGACTCTGATCTCAAAAACCAAAACCAAACCAAACCAGCAAAAAGCTAACCTGACTCCCTTTAATAGATTTTTTCAAAGTCTCTCCAGGGACTTGTGATCTTCAGAATCATTCACAGAAAGCCCAGGACAGACTGGCCCAGAAGCTAAATAAAGACTATGCTGTGTGCACATAAAGCCAGTTACTCTGTCCCCTATGAACTAGGAGATGGTACACCACAGGCCTGTAGAGGGCAGTGTGGCCCGTTCCTTGTAGAAACTGGTACAGAAAGGAATGTGAACTTCACCAGAACAACCCATTTTTCTCTAGTCTCTGAAAACTCTAGACGACATAACTTTATTTATTTAAAATGTGTTATTTAATTACTGCCTATTATTTACATTTGATTTTATTTAACCATCACATTTAGAAAATAATAAGAATAGTAAATGTCTGAATGGGAGTCTCTTGTGGCTCTTTTCAAGATGTCAAGTTTGAATTTCTAGTCTTTTTCCCTTTGAGGGGATTCTCTCCTCTAGTGTTTTACATGATCCTTGTAAGTAAGATGGGGGAGTCCTGAATAGAGAGACTAAGCTGATTTTTAAACTGGGAAATGGAGTCTTGAATTATGGATTATATGGATGATTAAGCCTATGTGTCCTGAAGGTACTTTGCCAGAGCACAACACTTGACTTGAAAAGAAACCCTGGAATTTAGTTCAGGGATAGGGGAGCAAATAGAGACGTGTGAAGGAAGCGTTTAGACCTTGGGAGCCTGATGTCCTATGAAATTCTGTCCTATAAGATTGTGTGATGGTAGAGATACGTTGCATTTTTGACTCTGGGGGCTTAAGAACCTGTTAACTATGTTTAAGAAAGTACTTCTAATTTATTCAATGTCTTCCTAAATTATCCTAAAAAAATAAGCTGGAAAGTCTTTGGGACCATACCCAAGAAACCTTGGTTGTATTTTTAAATTATTTAATGTTATACATTTGTACAACTCCTATGCTTCCCAATGATGGCCATGTGTCGGAGGGGAAACAATTTTGGCATGAGGGGGAGGGGCTGCTGTTTCTATATTTGTTTTCTTCTCCTATAAATTGTAATTGAGCCATATCTTGGTTTAATTTGACATTGATTCTTTTTTTTTTCCCGGGGGCGGGGGAGATACTGTCTGGGATTAAAAGAGTATGCCACCATGCCTAGCTTGTTGTTTTGTTTTGTTTTTTTTAAAACTAGTGTCATTTCTAGACCGCCTTGTGTGAATGCTGGAGTACACTTTATACTGTCCTTATATCATTCAGCTAAAGCCATTCCCTTATGCCATATGCTGAGCTGTTCCTTATAAACCAAGATGGGAGTATTTTGAATCTAGCTAAGTACTAAAGTTCTGCTTTCATCAGTGGTCTGCTTTATGCGTGTATGGAAGAGTGTCTATTTTCTATCAGTAGTTGGATATAGTAGTAACTCAGCATGCAACCAGGGCATGGTGGCAGAAGGGTTGAGAGTTTCAGGACACCTGAGCTACATAATGAGGCCTTACTTCAAAAACAAAACAACAACAAAAGCTGAGAACACATTTGAGTAGTTCACTGTTTGGCTGTGTTTTTAGGGATTGCTTGATACAGAAGGATTATTCATTTTCTTATGTGTATGCATGTTGTGAAGATTGGAGTCTTTATGAGGAGTTAAAGTCCGTTTAAATTGATCCTAGAGACAGATTGTTTACTCCTTTCATGGGACTGTGGAGTGGGTTTTCCCTTCTATAAGCAAACAGGTTGAAAGGGTTTGTTGCAAAAGAGAAGAGAGAGAGAGAGAGAGAGAGAGAGAGAGAGAGAGAGAGAGAGAGAGAGAGAGAGAGATGCCAGGTTTGGAACATACATGTTTATACTAAATGTTGGAATGTTTCTCTGTTCTTTCCTTGGCTTTACAATCTTCGGGACTGTTTTGTTGCTCAGCAAAGGGAATTCATTTGGTCTGCATCTTAAAGCTCTAATAAAGCGACATTCTGTTCCATTAAGTAATAATCCTTCTGGCTGGAGAGATGGCTCAGCAATTAAGAGAGCTTGTTACTCTTGCAGATTGTACCAGGGTTTGATTCCCAGCACCTACATGATAGTTCACAACCATCTGTAGCTCCCATTCCAGGGGATGTTCTCTTCTGACATCCGAGGGCACCAGCCGCATATATGGTACACATACATATATATGGGCAAAATATTCATACACATAAAATAAAGAAATCTTAGAAAGACAAAAAAAAAAAAAAGAGATAATCTGTAGCAAGTATTCTGCTCCTAACTCCATTGTATTTGTCCTAGACACCTGCCACTTCCAGTACGGTGAATGTCAAAGGTAAAAGTCTTTGCTGAGGGGAAGAGGGGAGCGGTGTAGAGACTGTTCTAGATTGGGTACCTCAAACAGTCAACATCATATATCTCTCCTTCAGTGACTTGGTATGAAAAATAAAAGAAATTAGACAAGGAGGTTGTATGGGGGCTGATTTGATGGTTCAGTGCTTAAGAGTATTTGCTATTCTTTTACAGGACCCAAGTTTGGTTCCAGCACCCATTTAGTTGGCTCACAACTATATGGAACTCCAACTTCAGGGGGATTTAACGCCCTCTCCTGGCCTCTGTGGTCACCTGCATACCCTCATACAGAGAGGTCGTTCAGAGATAAGTGGAGACAGAGCTGAATGTGGGAGCCTAGTTCATTTCTCCCACGGCAGTGAGTTAGTCCTTCCCTTTCGATCGGAGGAGGCGGCTCAAGTCTAAAATCTTTTTATTTTCTCATAGTTACTTAGTCCCGCGTTTGTCTTTGAATGCACTTAAGCTATATGAATCAATTGTTTAATCCAATTATATACAGGAATTCCTGTGTTATCTAGAAAGCAGTCTTTAGCCATCTGGAAAAATTGAAAGTGGGTTGGTCCTGGTGACACGTGTGGGTAATCCCAGTACTCAGAAGGCCGAGGCAGGAGGTGAAGGAAGGAAGGTCAGCAATTCAAGGTCAGCTTTAGCTATGGAGATCAGCCTGAGCTCCATGAGACCCCATCTCAAAAAAAAAAAAAAAAAAAGCATTCAGAATTATCAGTTGTGGCGAGGTATGGTATCTATTCCTAAAATCCAGCCCTAGGGAGCCCCAGGGAGGAGGGTGAAGAATTCAAGGCTAGCCTGGTCTACAGAGACCTAACTGAAAAACAAAACAAAGCAAAAGCCTTGCTGTGGTTGCCACAGGCAGTGGGGTCTGATGCTCTGGAGTGGTCTCACTCTAATTGCCCATCTATGCACCTGCACTTTAGAAACATTCCTAGGTCTAGAAGTTGCCCTGGTCTGTGTCAGCTCCACTGTTCACCACAGCCAGCCACAAGCTGGAGTCCTCTCCTTGCTGAAGCATACGGAATTCCTATAGTAACAAGCATCCCCTCAGTTAATGACCACAGTCCCTTGTTGATAGGAGTTTGGAAAGTTACTTCTGTTCATGGCAAACCTGAAAGAGGGGATGTAAACCCTCTGTGGGCTGGAGCTGGACAAGGAAGGCCCTAAGATCTGGGAATGTTCTGTTAGCAACCAGAGTTGCTGGAAGGGAAATTGTGTTGATAGAGTGAGTCCCATCTGGGGACCAGGAATGCATATTTGGGATCCTCAGCAGCTGCTGCCTGGCCAGCACTGACACTGGGCTGTGGAGAGTGTGGCTTTGCTGTGGCCTCACTGTTTAATGATGTTTTGTATCTCCACTGTAACACCACCCCCAAAACCATACCCAAAGTGGGGTGCAGAAAGGCCTGATGTCTGCTTGATCCCAGAGCTTAGGCCAGGAGCAACTGCCAAGGTCTCTGGCTCCCTACCCACAGCTAGATGCTGACTGGTTCTCAGGGCCAAATTTGTGAAGATAGATGAAATTGACAGAGGCTATTTGTATAGGTAGAGCTGGGAGGGAGTGATCCCTCAAATCTTTCTCATAGGTGGAAGCTGCTTTTTCTAAATCAACAAACACCACTGCTCTCACCTTATGACTTAAATTGAACTCTCACAATGTAGTTAAAAACTATTATTATGCTGGGTGGTGGTGGTACACACCTTTAATCCCAGCACTTGGGAGGCAGAGGCAGGCAGATCTCTGAGTTCGAGGCCAACCTGGTTTACAAAGGAAGTCCCAGGACAGCTAGGACTGTTAAACAGAGAAACCCTGTCTCAAAAAACAAAAACAAAAAAAACCTATTATTGTTGTTGTTGTTCTTTTAGCTAGACTTGGTGGTGCACGTGTATAATCCTAGCACTTGGAAAGTAAAGGCAAAAAAATAAAGAGCTCAAGGCCAGCTTCAGCTACATAGGAAATTTGAGGTCATCTTGGCCTATGACCCTGTCTCAAAAAACCAACAATCAAAACCAATACTTGTAGCTGGAGTTTTCTCCAGTCCTGCTCAGGCCCGCAGCCACTCAGGCCCAAGTAAATACACAGAGACTTATATTACTTATAAACTGTATGGCTGTGGCAGGATTCTTGCTATCTAGTTTTTGTTTTTTGGTTTTTTTTATACAGGTTCACCTTTTTATTGGACATGTTAACAAAAGAGGTTTAGTCAAAAAGACCAAAGCCCATGTCATCATCAGACTCCTTAGATTCTTCCTTCTTTGCTTCCACTTTCTTCTCCTCAGCTGGGATAGCAGCAGTAGAGGGGGCAGGACTGCCTGTTGGCATGGCTCCAGCTGATGGAGAAGGCCCACCAGCCCCTACATTGCAGATGAGGTTCCCAATACTGACATTGGCCAGGGCCTTTGTAAACAAGCCAGGCCAGAAAGGTTCAACACTGACACCAGCTGCTTTAATGAGGGCATTGATCTTGTCCTCAGTGACCATCACCTCATCATTGTACAGGATGAGGGAGGAGTAGATGCAGGCGAGCTCGGAGATGGAGGCCATGTTGTGGACTGCCGGCAAGGTGCTAGTCATTGGATGAAGTAAGGGCCTCACCCCAATGTGGCCTTAGCTTCCTCAGAAGAACCAAGCACCTTGGAGGCAGCTGAGGAAAAAAAAAAGGCTATCTAGTTCTTATATCTTAAATTAACCCATTTCTATTAATCTATAAGTTGCCACGTGGCTTGTGGCTCACTGGTACTTTATATCTTGCTTCTCATGGCAGCAGTTGGCAGCATCTCCTGATTCAGCCTTCTACTTCCCAGAATTCTCCTCTCTCCTTATCCCACCTATACTATACTTCCTGCCTGACTACTGGCCCATCAGCATTTTATTTATCAATCAATCAGAGCAACACGTTCACAGCATACAGAAAGACATCCCCAGCAAATACTTCTTTCAGTGCTTATAAAATTAGATTCTGGCAAAATGTAAAACCTTTCTGGTAAAGTATTTAATAATCATAGCTAACAATTATTAAGAACTTACTAGTCTGTTCTAAGTACAGTTTGACTATATTATCTCATTTAATGTATAATAGTCTCATCAAATGGACACTCTAGTCACCTTGTCTTGTTAGATACTATGAGGAACTTGAGAGGGCACACAATGAGAGTAACCCAAGATTTGAGTTCTAGAATGGTCTGATTCTAGACTTATGCTCTTCCCTATTCTATTAGTGCATATAGTTCTGCCTAGCATAGTGTCTCATGTGTCTAATCCTACTATGCTGAAAGCTGAGACAGGAAGATTATGAGTTCAAGGCCAACCTGGGCTACAGAGTGAAGTGTAGGCCAGCCTGGGATACAGAGTAAGATCTTGTCTAAAAAACAAGGAAGGAAGGAAGGAAGGAAGGAAGGAAGGAAGGAAGGAAGGAAGGAAGGAAGGAAAAAAGGAAGGAAGGAAGGAAGGAAAAAAGGAAGGAAGGAAGGAAGGAAAAAAGGAAGGAAGGAAGGAAGGAAAAAAGGAAGGAAGGAAGGGTGGAAGGAAATCCAAAGCCAAGGGTGAGGCCTTAGCTCTTTGAAAACAAAACAGAACAAAACTGGAATGGCAGGTGGAAAGAGAAGGAATCTGTGCTAATTGCTGAGGTGCTGAGATCTTCAGTGTTATCAGAGGCAATACAGCCGTGAAAAAAGCGGTTACTCTGTGTACTGGCTAATTTTACGTCAACTTGACACAAGCTTAAGTCATTTGGGAAGATGGAACCTCAGCTGAGAAAATGTCCCCACCAAGATGACCTCTGGGCTAGCCTGTGGTGAGCTTTCTTGTTTGATGGTGGATGTGGGAATGCCCAGCCCACTGCCGGTGCTCCCCCCAACCCCGCCCCCCCCCGTGGTCCTGGGTGATAGAAAGTAGGCTGAGGCAGCCATGAGGAAGAACCCAGTAAGTAGCATCCCTCCAGGCTTCTGCTTCCTCCAGGTTCCCGTCTCCAGCTCCCGCCCTGACTTCCCTGGATGATGGACTGTGAGGTGGAAGCCAAATAAACCCTTTTCTCCTGAAGTTGCTTTTGGTCACGGTGTCTTATCACAGCAATAGAAACTAAAACAATCAACAAACCTCTTAAAATGAAACGAGGTCATTTCATCAGAACTACCTCTGACCCTGGTTGTCAACCTTCATTTTTCTTCCAGCTAGGGTGTGCACTCACTTTCAGTCCAATTGTGTAGACTCACTTCTGGAAGCTTCTAAGTGAGTAAATGGGTGTGAGGATGAATAAAACTCTGGGTTCCATTAAACAATGCCAAGTCATGGTGCTTTTTACAGATGATTTACTTTTGACATTACCCTCTGAGATGCAGTAAGACACTATCTAATGTTTACATTTCCTTATAACTTCCCTATAGCATTTGACGTTGGGGACCACCTGTGCTAGTCTGTGTCACTTCCACACAAAATAGAGTCACTTGGGAAGAGGGAACTTCAGTTGGGGTATCGTCTCCATCAGATTGGCCTGTGGGACATTTTCTCCATTAATGATTAACGTGGGAGGCCAGCCCACCGTAGGTGGTGCCACCCATCACAGGTGGTCCTGGGTTATAAGAGAGCAGGCTGAGCAAGTCATGAAAAACAGACAGTAAGCCGTGCTCCTCCAGGGTCCCTGCCTCAGTGCCTGCCTTGAGTTCCTGACTCCCTTCCCTCAGTGAGGGACTGTGGCTGGGAGTCCTAAGATGAAATGAAGCCTTTCCTCCCTGACTCGCTTTCGATCATGGTATTTTACACTATGTAATTCTTTTTTAAATTTTAATTTAAAAATAAGCAAATAATAATTGTGTGTGGTTGTGCGTGTGTGAAGGTCAGAGGTTGGGTCAGTTGTCTTCGTCGATTGCCCTCTACCTTATTTTTGAGACGGGGTCTCTCTCTGAACTTGGGCCTCACTCTTTTGGCTAGCTGGGAAGCTAGCCCTTGGGACCCAATTGTCATCGCCTCCTCAGCGCTGGAGTTATAGCCATGTCCCGGCAATCTGAACCCGTGTCCTCGTGCTGCTGTGGCAAGGACCTCACTGAGCTGTCTCCTCAGGCCAGGCTTCCTAATTCCTTCTGTGTTTCCTCCCTCCCGCCTCTTCTGCCCTTCTCTCCCTCCCTGCCTCCCTCCTTCCCTTCATTTATTTATTTTTTATTTATTTTTAATTTTTTTTTTTTTGTTTCAGTGCCGTTGATCAAATCCAGGGCCCTGCACATGTCAATTCTTAAAATGCTCTTCTTCGTTTGAATTCTCACAGCCTCTATAGATGTTTCTGGTTCTTAACTTCCTTGATAGTTTTTTTCTGTCTTCCATTCCTTCAAGTATCTTCTGATTTTAGACTCTTTTTTTTGTTTGTTTGTTTATTTATTTATTTTTTTTTTGAGACAGGGTTTCTCTGTGTAACAGTCCTGGCTGTCCTCAAACTTGCTTTGTAGCCCAGCCTGGCCTTGAACTCACTGAGATCTGCCTGCCTCTGCCTCCCAAGTACTGGGATTAAAGGCGTGCACCACCACTGCCAGGCCAAATTTTAGACTCTTTTTTTTTTTTTTAAGATTTATTTATTTATTATATATACAGAGAAGGGTGCCAGATCTCATTACAGATGGTTGTGAGCCACCATGTGGTTGCTGGGAATTGAACTCAGGACCTCTGGAAGAGCAGTCGGTGCTCTTAACCTCTGAGCCATCTCTCCAGCCCTAATTTTAGACTCTTAAGTGGTACCCTCTTACCTCCACTGCCTCCATGCAGCCCCTCACCACGTATTGTCCACTCCACGCTCCGCGTCTCACTGCCGCTCCTGAACTGGTAGACCTGGCTTTAAAACATTCTTCACTGGGCAGTGGTGGTACACACCTTTAATCCCAGCACTCAGGAGGCAGAGGCAGGAGGATCTTTGTGAGTTTGAGGCCAGCCTGGTCTACAGAGCAAGATGCAGGAAAGGCACAAAGCTACACAGAGAAACCCTGTCTCGAAAAACCAAAAAAACAAAACAAAACTAAACATTCTTCTCTTGGGTCAGCTTGAACTTGATGGATGTGAAATGAGATGAAGAACTATGAAAACTGAGTAAGAAGATTGCAGGTGGAATGTATGAGGAGAAAGAAAGGTCTGACTGTGTGCCTGTGACCCATGTCTGTCACTGCAGAGCCACACTGTGACTTCAGCCTGATGTCCAAAAGCCTTGGGTTTGTGTTTCTCCCAATGGCCAGTTTTACTGAAGATGTTTATGCTGACCCTGAGGTCCTTAGGGACAGAGATCTGAATCACAGATATCATCAAGCCTCCCTATGGTGGTGCCTCTGGCTCCTACTACAACATCTGTTGAATGAACATTTGAACAGCGCTACACATCTCCATAGAGACACTGACATTGCTTCCCACCATGTAGAGTGCCCCTCCACCTTCTCTGCTGTGAAACTGGCCCAATTTTTACCACTCTTCTGTCTCTATCAAAGTTAGCACACACTGTACCCCTATAATCTTATCAAAGATGGCACACACTGTACCCCTATAATCCTATCAAAGATGGCACACACTGTACCCCTATAATCCTATCAAAGATGGCACACACTGTACCCCTATAATCCTATCAAAGAAAGATGGCACACACTGTAACCCTATGCTCCTAGCTCTTGGGGGATGGAGGTAGGAGAACCAGAGGCTCAGGGTTATTCTTAGCTACACAGTGAGTGTGAGGCCAAACACAGCTGCATGAGGGAAATGGAAAGACCATGTGGATGTCCCAGTTGCCTATCTTGTAACTCCGTTGTCTGCATAGCTCCCAAAGGCTTATTTCTCAGTTATAGCTCTCCCAAAGTATGTCTTTCTCACTAAACGTGCCCAATCCCTTTTCCCTTTCCTTCCCTTTTTTAATTCTTTGTTTTTTTTTTTAAAAAGAAAAAGTATTTATTTTTATGTTATGCATATATATGTGTGTTTTGCCTGGATGTGTGCTGAGTCAGGAAACTTGTGAGTTCCAGACCAGCTTGGGCAACTTATAAGATTCTGTCAAGGGGGAAAAGAAAATCTCTAAATAAGTCGATCAAATTTGGTTCTGAGTTTGAGTGCAGACTTCAGAGGCACGCCCAGATTCTATGGGGTTTGCGCTGCTTACTCAGTGCATTAGGCTAAGATGATTTCAAGTCATGGTGTAGTGTAGGACTGTTAAAGGGCTGAGTCAGAAAGAACAGGGGCAGGGTGGAGGCTCAAGTTGGGTGATCAGGAGAGGAAGAAAGGAGGAAGCAAAGCGGGTGTTAAAGCCAGGGCCTCCTGCAGGGTTAGTTAGTTCTCACGTATCCTGTGGGCCTCGGGGATTGAACTCAGGTCAGCAGCCTTGGCAGCAAGCACCTTTACCCACTCAGCTATCTCACAGCCCAGCCTAGAGATTTTGAAGGACCAGGAGAAAAGAATCAGAGACCATCATACACCACAGAAGCAAATCCAACAATATGTTCCAGGGAGGGTGAAGAATGAGCTGGTTTCTCTTTTAAGGCTATGGACTCATAATGGGATGGATTTGCCCATCTCTGGGTAACAGTTCAAAAGATGCTGAATTATCACTGAGCGTGATGAATCCACATGGCAACTCCAACTCATGCCTTTCTTCTTGTTTATTGGTGGCAGTCATGCTGATGTCAATGCATTATATTGGAAGGGTTCCTGTTTTAAAATGGGCAAGGCTGCTGTGTGTGTCATCATGGCAAATGTATGCATATGTCAGCATGTCAGCATGGGAAAAGTATCTGGTTGCCAAGGAACTTCGTAAACATCTCCATCTTTACCAGCCTGTGGTTTTCTTTTTAACTGTGCATGTCTTTAAAAAGAAAACACTTGTGTTGTGTATAAGGAATCTGAAATGACCAGGAAATGAGTCAAAGCCAAAGCTGCTTTCCTTTATTAGTGCCCAGCCCACAGTATGAACTTGACCTTGAAACCCTAACTTCTGTGGATTTTGACATAAGGATCATAATATAACATTCGTATTTCCTGCTTGTCGTTGACTAGATTAGACGCATTGCTTCCATGTTTTATTTATATCTTAGAACATCGTTGTCCTTTTCACTACAATATTCGGTGTGAGATCCCAGATATTTTGGGATCCTAGACACAAACATCTTTTTTTTTTTTCCCCAGCTGAGTCAGCGAGAAAGATAATTTATTGTACACGAGTTCCACTTGGCCACATGTGAGAACAGAACTAGTCCAGAATGCCACAGGTCCAGGGCAGAGGGCCAGCGGGACTGTTTTGGTTGTGATGAAGGCAGTCAGGTCTCAGGTGGTCTCTGCGAGCAGATGGTGATGTTCCAGGTCCACTGAGACGTATACCAACAGTCGCACACAGTCCAACAACTTGTATCAGCATCTGGGGCTTCAGCATCTCTTGCTTCTGCTCCTTCAGCCTCTGTGGGTGCATAAGCTGGTTTACTTGGGACCTCTGCCTCAGCTTTCTTCTCTTGCGCTTCAGCCTGCGCATGCGCTTCTTCCTCCACTTCGCTCTCAAGGTGCAGCAG